CTGCTTCAGCTTCTGTCAGATACACTAACTTCACAAAAACTCACTAACATTCAACACTACTGTTTGCTACCTCTCGGGAACCGCCAGAGAACAATCACTGTTCGTCTTAAAGACTTGGAAAACCAACTGATTATCTTTTCTCTCTCAAAAATCTAGCTAAACTTTCATTCCTACATACCTATCCCACCTTTTTCAATCTCCGCCAATCAAAGCTCGTCACAATTCTCCCATTTTTTCATTTCGATAACAAACAAATTTTTACCTATAATTATAAAATTTCCTAAAACTTATTTACAAATAATATTTTTCTACGATTCTTAAAAACTAACAAAAACCTATCTTTATAAAATCTATTCTATTGTCCTTAATCACTGCATTAATGTATTTGGAAAACCCGGTTCAATTGTCTTTGGATTTCACTTAAAATTATGCGGGTCACTCAAGTATAGTATAACAAAGAAAATAATTTATGCATAGCTTACATTTTGTTTAATACAGGTAATCCAAAAATTTAAAGACTTTCCTTCTTCGAAATGTTTGTTGGGTATTATCCTACTTATCTGAATTATTTTAATGTTTTTGAACTTGTATATTATATATATATATATATATATATATATATATATATATAATATATATATATATATATATATATATATATATATATATATATAATATATATATATATATATATATGTCTATATATATTACTATATGTATAATATATATATATATATATATATATATATATATATATATCAATGTCAATATCAATGTCATAGATTTGTGAATAATATAATTAAAGGCAGGTTTATAAACGGACATAGTACATAATCATAAGTCATAAACATAACTTCAACCACAATCATAATTCATAAGATTTAAGATTGGTTTATAACTAGACATAATACATAACCATAATATTTAAGAACTACTTCAGAAAATACAAACCTAACCAAATTTTTATAGAGCATGAAAAATTTTTTTCTGGTCTTTAGATTCATAGAAAAGTGAAATAAATAAATATGTGGTTGAATTCGCTCCAAAAACATTAAATTAAAATAGTAGGGTTATGTATAGGAGGAAACTGCAGATGATTCTACCAACGCATGCGCATATTCCAACAATTCCATAATGTTTAATACTTAATTCATAAATGTTGAAAGTTACCAACTTTCAAGGTCACGTTTTAAGGACTAAATTTATGTCTTATGTATTATGGATGCTTTTAAATGGGTACATTTATTTATTAACTTTTAACATTATGCTTATATAATAAGATTATGGTTAAAGACTAAAATTATGTTTATGTCCGTTTATAAATCCGGCTTAAGTTTGTGTGAAGTAAAGTAATTTTTTAAAATTTTAAATATAGGAATATAGGACTGTGATAAGTTTTTATCAACATTTTTTATAAAATCATTTATGATACAACCTCATTCAGTTTCTCCCTGATGAAGGACATAACCAATGTCCGAAAGCTTGGAATAAAAATTTAAAAGAGTATACTTTTCATTTTTATTGCTGCATACCCAATATTTAAAGTTTACTTCCTTACGTGGTCAGCAAATACTTCTAGTTCATTGATATATATATATATATATATATATATATATATATATATATATATATATATATATATATATATATATATATATATATATATATGTATGTATTTGTGTATTTGTATACATGAATGTGCGTAGTTCATGTATAGTACTGACATATCTTTATTTGGTTCTATCTTATTTATGTCTGTCATATTTACCCGTAGGACGTTCCCTGTTAACCATTGGGATAGATCGTATCGAAAATAAGAATATTTAAATATATAGACACATAAATAAGTACATAGATATACTGTCGGACAACCGTAGCATCCTCCGAGGTATTCGGAGTTTCCGGATGGTCTACGACCGTCGCTCTGGAGGAGGATCGTAAGTTTCTCGATTTTATCTTCATGTTTGTCGAGTTTATGTGATCTAAGCTTCCGCTTAGTGAGAATTTTACCGGGACCTCCGACAACCAAAATACTCTAGCAGTTTGAAGTACATTTATATATATATATATATATATATATATATATATATATATATATATATATATATATATATATATGTGTGTGTGTGTGTGTGTGTGTGTGTGTGTGTTTAGTATTCAGTAGGGCACCGTGTATGCCACCGTGTGGCCACGTTCACACTCCTCGAGATTATACAAGAACGTCGACAGAGTGTTGACTCTTCGACGGCCCTTCACTTCGTATCGCCACCTTTGGAGAAACAATATTTGCGATCCTGTAAGGACGGTTACAATTTTCGTAAGGTTTCTGATACCGCAGCTCGGTCACTGAATATAAAGCAATTTTAAGCCCACTTGGGGCTTTTATTTGCTCTTGACCATCAGTGGACGTCACAAATAGCTATAAGACCCACTATCTTTTCCCTATTTCAATGATCGTGTTTATCTGGCCAGGGAACGTTCTCTGCGAGCTGTTAGCGTCAGTCAACAATCGCCGGTTCTTATACCTCTTATGATTCGAATGATACCGCAGCCACCACAGCTTCGTATTAACTCAACAATTAAAGAGTTTTGGGGTTGTCTTCAACTTAGACGTCTTCGACGAAATCTTCACTCAAATAATAATAAAACTCAAAATCGTAGTAGTAGAGGCACTGGGCCAACACGATTTAGCGGAGCTAGTAGTGTAAGACGACATCACAGTCGGAAGATGTGCTGCTCTTTTATGTTTTTAAATTCGCAGAGATCTTTCGCCGGCAGGCCAATGACAACGCGGTAATAACCACGATACACTTACACACGGTATGCCAATGCGCATATAGACAACATCTCTGTCGCTTTGCGTGACGTCACGTGCAAGGTAAAACTCTACTGGTTCTAATGGTGTTAATGTAGTTAACAGGAGAACTTTCAGTTATTAAAAATTATTATAGCTAATTTTTGGGTAGGATATATTATGTAAAACAAATTTTACAAATATTAGTATCTATTTTTACGGATTTGTTCAATATCGATAAGTTAATAAATTATATATTCAAATGACAAATGCTGATATTAATATAAAAATTTTCGTTTTTTCACCAATGTATATTCTTACATTTTTTGTAATATAATAGGACTACTTTTAGTGATTTATAAAAATAAAAATACCTATGTAATAGATACTAAACACGAATGCAAAAGATTAGATAAATCTTGTAGGTCTACTTTCTAAAATTAGAAAATTTGGTCATCTTTTTCTACAAGTTTCTTTAAGCATTTTTGTAACCTATTTTCCTATTCAGATCCCTTAGTCTTATATAAGTTCTAGTTCTGACAAAATACAGGACAACCTCATAAGTAACAGTGGTATTTTGTGTTTCGGCCATCGTTTTTTCAGCTAATTTGAGTAAAATATTATATCTCTTTAGATAAAGAATTGCCATACACTTTGTGCAACTGAGTATTGAGTTTCAATGCTACGTCCCATAACTCATGATTGGGTTGCACGAGAGAACCTCGAGAAAGAGCATATATTCAATTAGGTACATTTTGGTCTTTATACATGGAGATGTTTGTAGAAAGTACTTGTTTATTTAAAGGCCACGAAAACTGCTTTATATTTTAGTGATTCCTGGCTTACTGTTTCTTTTACTTCAAAATATGCAACAATTGTTCTGCTTCATCATCTATAAATTGTTGGAAATAATATGGTTGAACGAAAGCAGGTGTTATAATTTCTTGTTTAAGAATTTCTTCATCATTCACTGTTTCTTCAAATTTGGATAGGTTGGCTAAAATTTTATGAGGTATTTACATATTTCTGCTGTTTCAATATTTGATATATCACTCAAACTTTAAGAATCCTTGAATATGTCCAACCAACAAGCCTCGTTAGATTTTGTGGTAGCTCGGTTCTCTGTAAATATGGCTGCCGAATGTTTTCAAAATATACGATCGAAGTTGGTATTTGAAGTCCAGAGGCGAAGGGTGATTATTACTGCCTCCCAATCCCTCGAATATACGAGAAAAAATTTTCTAGGACATTTTGATTTAGTCTGGAAATTAGTAAATACTCCAACTCATATTTTGTTTTTAGATAATCAAACATTTCTGATAATGATTGACTTGACAACAAAATTCCTTTTTGAAAAAAAAATCAATTCTTTGTGACTGCTTACTCTCATTGTTTGAATGATTATTATCATTTCGTTCAATAGAAAAAGCATTCCTTCCATTTCAATTGTGGATAAATTAGATCGCGAATTAAATAAATTAAACTAATCATAGAATAGTTGGACGATATTGGAGGCTTCTTTAATATTCAAATGTTGCTGGGTTAATTTATGGTCATATATTAACTCAGATGTCGATATATTAAAAAGAGTTTCCAAGAAATCAATATTTATCTTTTTGTTATCAATGACGAATCCTTGGTCTAATCCTTTTAAATTTAAACTTTAACCTTTTAACATGTCATTAGATCATCGAGTTAGAATCTAATTCGATGCATTAGATGGATGAACAAAGTAGCAATTTTTGGCATGTCCAACTTCAAGTTGATTCCATAAGAAAATATTTTTTGATCCCATATCATTTGTAATGGAAACAACAATGAAACTTGTCCCATAAAACTACGGCACAGCTTTGTTGTAAACAAAGATATAAACAACACATTTACTAATGGATTTAAATGGCAAATCTCGCAGAGTTTCTCGCACGTGACGTAATGCGCGCGTCGAACCGAATTACGGTTCTATATTTGGCATACCGTTGTGTGTGTATCGTGGTAATAACGAGCTTTGTGATTGGCTGGCCAAAGTAACAATCTGTGTCGTGATTGTCATGTCACTTTGGCGACAATACACATATACAGCACGAGAAACAGATTTCATATACTCGTTCACACACCAATAGTACCCTAAATAAAATTGTTTTACAAACAATAATTTACTTTCTGAAAAAAATTTATTAATATTTACCAGACTAAAAAATTTACTTACGGATTTGATATCACATTTCATTACTTTATTTATATAATTTGGAATTTCAGTAATTATCGTTTGAAATCCCCATGCTTGGCCAAGAGTACTAACAAATATAGCCCAAAATGGATCGCATTTAAGTATATCCTTCCATGGTACTTTTAACTAAAAACATACGAGTACATAAAGATGTATTTAGTTCAAACAGTATGAACAAAATAAATTTTATTTAACGTTAAAATCTTTTTATTTTTTAGGGTTCTAGGTATTTAAAAATCTGTATATTTTGCAGTGGAGCAATGCATAAAAGACAGGAGATGAGAAGAGTTTTTTTCGAAAACTTGTTAGCCTAGCAATGAAAACAATTTTAATAAAAATTTCAATCAACGCAAGGGGTACATTTTTTAATAAGGTGCATTTATATTTATTATTGCCGTCTGATATAAATTCCAAAATATCATCAATCATAAGATATCAGTGTCAGATATCATTAGCAAGATGTGATCAGTGAGGGATACAGTCCAAAAACATTGCGATGTGAGATAAACAATGTAGCTAAAGACAAAAAAGTAAATGAGACGTGGGCGACAATATAATAAAATATATTACAAGCGACAAAAGGAAGGAATTAAGGAAAGGAATTAAGTTTATTGCAACAAAAATATCAAAGCCATGGTTTAACACCGAAATAAGAGATCTAGAGACCAAGAAGAGGAAAACTTACAAAGCTGCAGTAACAAAACACCAAACAACTAGCAACAATACAGAGATGCAAGAAATTATATTAATTTTAAGATAATATTTATAAAACAAGAATATTAAAGATCTTTTACCAAAGAAATTTAAAACGACATATGGGACATAAAGAAAAGTTTATAATATACTTAAGGTTGGAAAAATCTCAATAACAAATATGGAAAATTAAATAAAATAAAAATAGGACAATAGACCGAGTTTATAGAAGAACTATAGAAGAGGGATCGTATTATACCTGAAGAAGAATGAACAGAAAATAAACATGAATTATACGTAGACACGTTAATAAAAATCAAAAAAAGGAAATAGGGAATAACATGTAAAAGAAAAAAAAACAGTAAACCAATAGAACCCGATGGAATACGGTGACTTGTCGATCAAGAACATAAAGAAATTTTTTTATGAAACAATATATAGCTAGTGTGTACTCGACCACTGGAAAATGAGTATAACAATACCAATGGACAAAAGAGAAAACAGGAAAGATCCTACCAATTCCGCTATCATTATATTATTGAGCACAACTATCTAACTTTCAACAAGAATACTTACTTATAAAATATAAAGAATGAATAATTCGTGAAGAATAAGGATTTCTACAAAATAGGTCTACAATAGCCGCCATGTTCATAGTCAGACAAATTGCTGAAAAAGCATTGGAATATAATAAGCCTGTATATATGTATGCGCTTTATAGATTTGACGGAAGCGGCGCAAGATAGACGGGGTTTGAAACACGAGGAAGAGGTCTATGTTCAGCAGTGGACTCTTGAGGCTGGATGATGATGATATAAAGAATAAAATTAGAATAAAAGTTGGCAATTACCTAACGCCGGAAGTAAAAATAAACTCGGGAATTCATCAAGATGATAGCTTGAGAACATTACTTGTTAATTTAGTAATATACAAAATCATAGAAGAAATCAAAAGTACAGGATAAGGATATAAGTTTCGAGAAAAACAAATAAAAATCCTCTGCCACTCATACGACGAAATCTTAATCTCCGACAATGACAATAGCCTACAGCGCATGGCACAGACGCTTAACACAGTCGCAAAGAACTACAGCATGAATTATCTAAAGCTGAGCTAAGACCAAATCGTTAAAAATACTAAATGTAATTGAGGGGATTAGATGTTAGGGGAACAAGTAACAAAAAATTGTAAAATCAGTTAAGCGCAGAAAATAATACTAGATAGTACTAAAAATTTAGTGGCAAAGAGATACATGTGGTGGCGACATATCGCCGGTTCTAGTTTGACTACTTACGAAATATTATAAAACACTTTGCGGCATACAAGTATAACTACACTTATATCCATTTGCCTGTAAGTTGTTGGATATTGTTTTGAGTGAACGGTTTAGCACCTCTGCAAATCGAGCTGTTAAAAAAGTATTCAAAATGACTGAAATAATACCACAAAACAGAGTCAATATTTCTCGTTTTTATTGCAACATTGTTAGTAATATGTTTTACTTTTTTCCTCAGTAGTTTAGTTTATATACATGAATTTATTTAAACTAAAGTAATCGAAAAAGTTGGTAGGTTTTGCAATTTTTAATATTAATAATGGCCTCGGCACTTAAGTATTTTGCTTGAAAATATTAAAGTCTGGGTTTATCTTGAGCGAAGTCATTATTTGTAAGTTTCTATTTCTATTTATGTTTACAGGTGATGAAGATCAGGATGACTCAGATCGTGACAAGAATTTTGTACACACAGTTCTGATGATGACGACATATTTTCAAATGGTATTGGCGAAATTTCAGACCATTCTTCGGTTTCGGAGGAACCACGAAACCTAGAAAAGGAAGATAAATCCAGAAAAATGGACTAGAGTACGTAGGACAAAAAGGGGAAGCTCACGCAGCTAAGCAGCTAAGCAAGTGTGACCTTATCTCCATTCCTCTAGCTATAAATGCAACGAGTTCTCCGAAAATAACAGAGTAAACATTTTTAACAAATTTTGGGTATTACAAAATTGGAATCTTCATACTTCGTTTTTGCATTCGTGCATTGGAGTAAGTGTCCCTCGTCATAGAGTTCAAAGAACCATAAGTCATAAGAGAGCTGGTACAACTATACATTTAAATGAGAAACGTGTATGCAAACATTTTTTTTGCCCACATTGGATATAAGCAACACACGATTTGCTAACGTTATGAGAAAAATATTTGACTCTACCACTGACATACCAGTTACTAGCAGAAGAAGAGAACACATAGGTTTCAACGAGTTTGATAATTATAATGATGACTGTCTTAGTCCTTTCGTGTCTGGCTGTATGACGATAGTCTAAACCAAAAAAAAACAAGTTTGATAGTTCTACAAACTCATTCCTAAAATTTAAAAGTCACTATACAAGCCATCACAATCCAAATCGAACATATCTAGACCCTCCATTAAATGTCAATAAAATGTATGAACTTTACAAGGAATTTTGTAATGAACACAATGATCAATTTGTCAAAATCAGCTACTATCGCCATATTTTCAATACCTGCTCTAATCTTAGTTTCCACAGACCTTATACAGATACATGTACATTATGTGACCAGCTTGATAAAACAATAAAAACCGAAAGACCAGAAGATGCAGCTGCTGCAAAGATTAATAAAAAAGTTCAGCTTAAAAAAGCAGATACAGCTCGACAAGCAAAAAATAAAGCAAAAGCTGAGGCTGTAGGATCTACTGATCGAATAGCTATTTGCTTTGATCTCGAAAAGACTCTGCCGACACCCCTATTGACTAATAGCAAAGTATTTTACCTGAGGCAATTGTGGACATATAATTTTAATATTCATGGCCTTGCTAAAGATACAGCATAAATGTTCATGTAACATGAAGGAGAAGCGTCAAGAGGGGCTGAGGAGATAATTTCATGTCTTCTGAAGTTCATTTTAAGCTTACGATAAACTATTAAGCACATTAGCGCTTTTAGTGATAATGCAGGAGGGCAAAACAAAAACAAGCATATTATTAAATTTTGGAACTATTTTGTACTATATACATAGATTGAAGCTATAGATCATAAATTTTCAATATCTGGTTATTTCTTTTATGGAATGTGATCAAAACTTTTGAGTGATTGAAAAACTAAAAAGAAAAACATCCTTGTGTTTGTCCCCAGTGATTGGATGGATGTTGTAGCTAAATCTAATAAAAAGTTATTGGAAAAAAACTGGATGTAAATGATTTTAAAAGTATAGCTCCGTTAACCGAGATAATGAACGACAAAGTGAAGGGCTTACGAAGAATCCAATGGTTTCATTTCGAAAAGCAGACACCTTGCACATTGTTTTATAAGGATTCTGTGTCGAAAGATTTTTCCTTTATTGCTGTTGATTTAAGAAAAACTAAAAGGGTGGGACGACTTGCAGAAATTTCATCGGTCATCGAACTTCCGCCAAGATCCCATCAAAATAAAACTCCCAAAATACAAAAATTTGTTGCAACTGTTACCCTTTATACCTCCCATTCACCATGATTTTTCCGTAAGTTAAGCCACGATGAAGGTCGAAATCGCGAATCCTTTAATAACCCACAACGTGAAAGAAACTCCCAAGAATTTGAAGTGGATACTCCTTTGGAAAATGAAGAAGACACTCAACTGGACCTAACCTCAGATTATGACGAATAAATATGTTTTTTGTTTGAAGAATAAACTGTGTGTTCTTTCTGAGTGTATCATAATTTGATATTAATGACAACAACAGAAGTAATTAATTCGATATAGAATTTACTATATAAAATTAACTTTGACTTCGTTTTTCTCAGCCTAACCATTTTATCACTTGTATCTCTTAGTATCTAATCCCCTCAATTGAAATAAAAATTGATATATGGAGACAAATTTTTTTAAACCAGCTCTTAATTCCAACGGTAACGTAAACATCCTAATTTGTAACTATATATAATATATGTACAACAGCTATAAATTTATAACATTTAAAGGGTTTTGACCCATATATTTTCGTGGCTCATAGCATGTATACCCTGTTTACACTGATGATGGATTTAACAATCCGAAAACGTTCTGTAATGTAATTGTGATAGCCCGTTTGGGCATTTTATTATATACTTTTTATAAAGGATTTGAAATAAATTTTTGGTGATATATGGTATACAGCCAGCTACAGGAACTTAGTTTCCTAGTGGAAAAATAACAGATGATGAAGGCAATCTTGCCATAACCAAAGAAGATAAAAAGAAAGTATGAAGTATTCAGTGTTATGGTGGAGTTTTCAAGTGCATCCAAGTCTCTGGAGAGGATCGTGAATTTGGTCTTTTTGGTATTAATCTCTAATCCCATTCGCTTACTATATTCTCCGATTATAGTGACAAATTGTTGAAGATAGACTATGTTGTCACAAATTAAGACACCATCATCAGCATATCGTATGTTGT